CACTGAGGTAGTGAGTTTGTGTGCGTGGAGACTGGGTGTGCCTGTTTGTGAACTGAGAAGAGTGATTCTGAGCAGACATATGCTTGTGTGTGGGTCTCTGTGTGAGTAGTGTATGTTTCCCTTGATTTGCATGTCCCTCAAGTAGCACAGTTGCCTACGTGAACTTTGTGAACGTGGTTTCCCATGTAGAAGAAAAGTCCCATCACCTGGCTTCATGATGTGTGTCTGGTCGTCAAACTATATCAAAATGTACCATATAAATATGGATAGTATATTATACGTGAAATATGCCTTGTGTAGGCTGAAAAAACTCCCATTGCTAGCTAGGAAAATAGTCACAGGATTCTGGAAGGGACATATGTTTTAAGAATCAATAGGATTCTGTGAATCATGACTTTCTTTCAGGATAGACCTCACCTCTGAGGAGGCTGTTACATTGCCCTCAGGGGATCAATCCTGATTAAAGAGAAGGAGCCCTGATGGTGTCTCACTGGCCTCCAAGAAAAGGCAGCCGGTGAAAGCGATGAATTATGGAGGACTTGGCACAGCCTGTGGGGGTGGAGAGCCACGCAGTGAGATGAGGCCCTTTAACCCCAAATCCCTAGTACCGTGTCTCACGCCTCTACTTCCTAGGCAAGACCATAAATTTCTATGCTGAGTTTGTCATCAGTAATAATTTCAGTCCTTCCTGTCGATCTTCCCTGTGTGGGGCACGACACACAACTACATTGATCCCAGAGTCCTTGCTCCATCCTACTTCAGCATTAAAGGGATCAATCCCCCAGGGATACTGCCCTCCTGCCCTCCTATCCTTTCCAAAAAGGAGATTATGGGAGTCTGGGAAGTAGTTCTCCCCTTCATAGTTGGAGAGGTGGGACAGGTTGCCTCTGGTTCAGCCACATGCCATGCCCAGTTCTGGAGGGTATCTGAGAAGAGGAGCCTCCAGGCCCTGGGAACCCCTTATCTCTAGATTTTGGTATCCCAGAGGTGTGGAAGACATTAGCTGCTGTGGGTGGTCAAATGCAGGAGTGAAACCAGTAGCCAGGCTCTGAGAGTCCTTGCTCCATCCAATACTTCAGCACTAAAGGGTGAAAGCAAGATCCAGAGTCTTGGCCTGGATCTTATACAGGAAAGACTGAGGGGGTGCAGAGGGAAGACACAAAGGACATCCATGCCATGTGATGGTGGGAGGGGACACCACGGTGGCTGGATTACTTGAATCTGTGTAGCATCAGCCCCTGGGTCCAGCCTTACCCTCACTGGGGATGGCATTTGGGCTCCTTCTGAGTGGGGACAAGGCAGGATGAGCCCCATGACCACTGAGAGCACCGTAGGGACCTCTCCCAAAAGCGTGGAGAGAGGGGCTTCCTTCCTGTTCCATCCTCTTCTCCATCTACCAGGCACTTTCATTCAAGGCCATTGGGGAGGGGCAGAGAATGGAGTCAGGTGTCCTGTTCTCCCACCCGGGACAGGCCAGCAGGGATGGAACCAGGGCCAGACCAGACACAAGGACATTCCCAGGCCTGATCCACCTGGGGCAAGGAGGGACCAGTTTTTAACTTTTCACTTACTTCTGGGGGTGCCCTGACAGACAGCCTTGTCGACACACTGTTGACCAAGGGGTGTCTGCCTGGAAACACATTCCTACTAAAGGGATCTCAGCGCACATGACCAGGGCAGCTGTAGAACATTCTAGCTAGCTGTCTGCCCAGGCACTAGTACAGATCAGAGCAACAAGGGTGGACTCTGAAGACAGTGCGGGGTTCCCCCTCTGTCTGCTCTGATTACATTCAGCACAAGTGTGGGGACTCAAGCTCTGCATTCTGCTCTAAGTGGGTCCCTGCTGGGATTCCCCCTGGGACCTGGTTGTTGACCTTCCACTCTACGTGGCCCCAGGGCCTCCCGTAGTGGCTGCTACATCAGCATGAGCCCAGGGAGAACTCGCAAATGAATGGTCAGATCAGGCCAGCAATCTTCTCTGCAGGAACCTGCAGGGTAGGGAGGTCATGACCTCCTCCTGTTTGGATCCGAAAGCTGTGCTATGCGTGGGGGGCAGACACATGTCAGTCAGGCCTGCTGCTGTTTAATTATAGTCAATTCAAGTTAAACATTCCATCCCTTATCACAGTAGCCACATTTCAGGTGCCCCGCAGGTGCATGTTGACAAAGCAGAACATTTCCATGCTCACAGAGGGTTCTTCTGGGCAGCTGCGCTGAGCTGGACACAGCGTCTGCTCATGGAACCCACCAAACCTTATGTCTGTCTGTCACAGGACGAATGTCAGGTTGGTGTGTGCACAGGTGAGAGCTATTCTGATCCAGTGCAGCTTGGAAAGTCCCAGATGAAGGGCGATCCTTTCCCTCATTTGATGGTTGGCACCTGTGGTCAATGTCTTGTTGAAGGGCCCTGCCTCTGCCAAGCTCAGGCAAGGCCTGAGGACCTGAAGGAAGGGCAGGTGGTGCTGGGTGAACCAGGAAGGCCTCAGCGGGAGTCACAGGAATGGCGGAGCCCCTGTCTCTAATAACCTGCCTGCTCCTGCTTGTGTCTCTAAAGGTTGTGTGTTGGAGAACCTTTCTGATCCTGAAAGTGAGGATGAAGAGTCATCAGGTAGGGAGCTACACTCAGGTAGGAATCAATGAGAGAGGGTTCCTGCAAACAGTGAGCTTACACCTGCTACTTTGTAGTCCTAGAGTGGGAGGTGTGAAATCAGAAAGACACAGGAAGAATGTATGATGGCTTGTTGCATTCTTGTAATATAATAGTGGGATCTTTTATTTATTTTTATTTTTGAATTTTTTCAAGTGAGTAGAGCTAGTAATTTTATTTTGTTTTCCTTAAAATTTTTAAAATAGTTTATTGTCAAGTTGGTTTCCATATACCACCCAGTGCTCATCCCCACAAGTGCGCTCCTCCATGCCCATTGATACCACATCTTCTTGATCCATTCGTCCGTTGATGGACACTTAGGCTCTTTCCACGTTTTAGCTATTGTGGAGAGTGCTGCTATGAACATTGGGGTACATGTGCTCCTATGCCTCAGCATTTCTGTATCCCTTGGGTAAATTCCTAGCAGTGCTATTGCTGGGTCACAGGGGAGTTCTACTGGTAATTTTATGAGGAACCTCCACACTGTTTTCCAGAGGGGCTGCACCAGTTTGCATCCCCACCAACAGTGTAGGAGGGTGCCCGTTTCTCCACATCCTCGCCAACATCTAGAATCCTCTGCTTTGCTCATTTGAGCCACTCTGACGGGTGTGAGGTGGCATCTCAGTGTGGTTTTTCATTTGTATTTCCCTGATGAGGAGGGATGCAGAGCATCGTTTCATGTGTCTGTTGGCCATCTGGATGTCTTCTTTGGAGAAGTGTCTGTTCATATCTTCTGCCCATTTCTTCACCAGGTTGTTTGTTTTTCGGGTGTGGATTTTAGTGAGTTCCTTATAGATTTGGGATATTAACCTTTTTTCTGATATGTCACTTGCAGCTCTCTTTTCCCATTCCGTCGGTTGCCTATTAGTGTTATGAATTGTTTTCTTTGCTGTGCAGAAGCTTTTAATCTTGATGAGTTCCCAATAGTCCATTTTTGCTCTTGATTCCCTTGCTTTGGGGGATGTGTCAAGTAAGAAATTGCTGCTGTTGAGGTCAAGGAGGTTGTTTCCTGCTTTCTCTTCTAGGGTTTTGATGGTTTCCTGTCTCACGCTGAGGTCCTTTATCCATTTTGAGTTTATTTTTGTGTATGGTTTTTGCGCCAGTGTACTTCTCAAAACTAGAACAAATTATCCTAATTTGTATGGAAGTACAAAAGACCTAGGGTGGCCAAAGGAATCTTGAAGAAGAAAACCAAAACGTGAGGCATCACCATCCCAGACTTTAGCCTCTACTACAAAGCTGTCATCATCAAGACAGTATGATATTGGCACAAAAACAGACACATAGACCCATGGAATAGAATTGAGAACTCAGAATTGGACCCAAAAGTGTACAGCCAACTAATCTTTGACAAAGCAGGAAAGAGTATCCAATGGACAAAAGACAGCCTCTTTAATAGATGGTGCTGGGAGAACTGAACAGCAACATGCAGAAGAATGATACGAGATCATTTTCTCACACCATACACCAAAGGACTTTTAAAAATGATGTCAGAAAACTAGCCTCCATTCACACAGCTTTTTACTTTTATCTTTTCCCATGGCTTAGTCACAGAGAAGATTCTTCTTGTTCACTTCTCTGGACGTCATCTTGCACAAACATCTTCCTGGGGGCTCCAAGCCCTGCTGGAAGTGAAGGCTTTGTTTTCTGAACTTCATTCTCCTGCTGTGTTTCACGGTCTGCCTGGTATTAAGCTATGAGCTATGCCTATGCCTTACATGACTTCCTGAACTTGGCTAGATCCATGTGTGAGACACCTTTGGTCCCCAGGGCACGGGTCATTGTGGGGAATGAGTAAACGATGCCTAGCAAATTCTCTAGCCTGAGAGCAGAGTTTCTGTGAGGCCTTGCAGGTAATTTCTATGCCAAATGCATTAGTCTCACTTGACGTTCCTGCAGGTGTTGCCCTGAACTTGACCCATGTCCTCGGAAGGTCAGCACCAGCTCCTGTTTGCTGTGATGCCTGTGACGAAGAATCTAACTGTACTACAAATTTACAGTGCACAATTACCAGTGCAAACTTCTCAAAAAACTCCTCACCCAGCACACTTTCTAGGAGTATTGCTGAGGGTGGCCCTGCCATGGACCATTTAGGCCAGGCTTGGTAACCAAAAGCCTCGATATGCTCTGGCCCATGTTCCTAGAAGGCAACACTCCCGGAGTTATTGTTGAACTGGACCACCCATGTAACTGACAACTATTCTTTGTTCACCTAGGTGCCTCTCAGGATCAGGGGCTCTTGGCAGTGTCTGCTAGCAAGCAGGCAGATGAGGAAGACCAGGTGATTACTAGGTGAGCTTTCCTGGCTTCACCTTAGGAGACATGTTGTTTGCTTTTGTCTTTACACCAAGTTCTGTTGTAAATCTGACAATGTACATTTTAGATGATATAGTTAATTTCCTGGTGAGGGGAGTGTTGGCGTGTTGTCTCTTGCCAACTGTTACCTGGTCCTAAGCAACGTTTACCACTGGCAATGCCAAACCTGGTTATGAACGGAGTGATAGGATCCTTTTCCTCAGAAGCAATTTTCCACGCCTGGGGGAAGAATTTCATAGTCGCCAACCTAACTGGACAAGCTCACATCCTTGAGCGGTACCTATTGTGGAATCAGTCTCTTGCTGAGGGAGAAACACTAGATGGTAAGGCAGGTGAGGGGTTCTTGGTGTTTTAGTCTGGAGAGCTACCCTGATTGCAGATTCCTGGGAGACTGGGGCTTGAGGGTGTGGGAGAAGGACAGATTTCCCAGGTGAAAATCTATGTCCACGTTTCTACGGTATGAAGAGAAAGTATTTGCTTTGTGTGGCGTGTTTGTGTGTGCCTGAGTCGTGCGGTGTCTTCTGTGACTCTATGTAGTTCTCTTGTGTGTCTGTGTGTGTGTTAGGGGAGTACAGAGAGACACAGAGACACCCACAAATATTGAGAGAGAGAGAGAGAGACAGAGAGAGATGGGTAACTCCCCAGGAGACAAGTGTCACTGATACTGCACAATAACCAATGTCAACCTTGCCAAAACAAAAAAACACAAACTCCTCACCTTGCACACTTTATAAGAATATTGCTGAAGGTGGCCCAGTAGTGGCATTCAGGCCATGCTTGGAAACTGAAAGCCTCCATATGCTCTGCCTCTGTTCATAACAGGCACCAGTCCCTGTGTTGTCCTTGAGCAGCACCACCAATGTACTGATGACTCTTCTGTGTCCATCTAGGTGCCCCTGAGGAGGGAGGGCTTTGGGCGGTGCCAGTTAGGAAGCACGGCGATGAGGAAGACAAGACTATTGCTGAGGTGAGCTTGCTTCTCTTTCCCTTAGGAGGATGTGTTGCTTTCTTCATGTTTTCCAATCAAATGTGTTTGTAAATCTGACAATGTACATTGGAGATGATACAGTTAATTTCCCTAAGCTAAGACATGGCTTGGTTAAAGAATATATATATACATGTAGCATTGAAAGGGAAGGCTAGAAGGAAAACAGCATGTAATTAATAATACTGTTTGTTTTTAACTGTTGGGATTTTCTTGTTTATAGTTTTTCATTAATTGATGAGTTTCATAACAAAGGGATTTATGATTAAATACAGCGGAATGTTGTGCCTAGATTTGAATCTAGTCTCTCAGTAAATGGTTGCTCATAATCATGTGCGAAATAGTAAACAGCAGATGACAGATGAATGCAAGTCCGGGTGATCCTTAGGGACAATTATGGTGGGCAGGGACAGAAGTGGGGGTTCTCCGGGCCATACCTATGGAGGGGTCCATTCAGAAGGAGACGGGACTTGATCCCCTGCCACTGCAGGCTCTAGAGAAAGAAGAGTAGTCTGTAGAGATTGGATTTGGGGTAGAAGGAAGGAACTGGGAAAGTGCCCACTCAAGAGACAGTACAGCCTCCCAGACGGTTCCTCAGACCAATAGTCGTACCACATTGAGTGTCCCGGATTTCATTCAATAAGCCACCAAAGCACCAACCCAATGGGCTACTTTGCCAATTGATTCGCATTAGCTGCTCAGGCAGTGTCAGTCGGCTGACTGAATTAGTCTGCTCTTTCTAGACAGAGCTGTCATGTGACAGTTGGTCTGGAATATCCTGGCTTCCACGTCAGCACAGGAGCTGAGCAGACTACTGGCCACAGACGGTGGTCAACTGGCCATTGGGGAAGGCTCCTCATGAGACCGTTGGCAGTACGGACACTGGGTGAGGATGGCCAACGTTGGGCTTCCCCTCATCCTTCAGAGGGGCTTCACTTGGGGGTAAGTGCACCGTGCCCTTGGGTCAGGGATTGAAACCTAGAGGTGGGAGGCTGATTTAGGATTTGGAGTGTTCTTTTGGCTTAGGCACCTCTTCCAGGGCATCAACTGTCTCCCAAAGAGACCTTGGGGAAGCAGGATTTGAGAAAGCGACTGGGGAAGTCCCTGGTTCAAGGGTGCAGGGATGATCCTGGGAAGATCCCAGGGAGGGATCTCTCTCCCCAGGGAACCAACTGCATTGTTGTCCGCAGCCCCTCACTCTTCAGGATGGTGAGTCTTGGCAAGTCACTTAATCTCTCATAGAAAATATGGGTCACGGGCTCTGCCCTATGTTATCCATGAGTTGATATGAGGATCACAGAAGATGGTAACAATTAAGGGTAATGCCTTCTCCCCACGGATAGGATAAAAAGGAAGCTCCCATCCACCTCTGCCCTGTAGCCATCCAAGGCCCCAACCTAGATTCAGCCACTACCAAGTGTCGAGCTTATTGTTCTGGAAATTTAGTGACTGAACACTTCCAGAGCACTTGTGAACTCAAGAAGGGTGCAAACAGTGTACATCATGATCTGACTCCCATGCTGTTTTCTCGTCTATACCTTCATATGGCCTCAGCAGAAAGCGAGTATCCTCATTAACGAGAAGGAGCCCTCTTGGTACGTCATTGAGCTCTGAGAAAAGAAGGCTGGAGGAAGTGATGAATTATGGAGGGATTGGCACAGCCGGTGGGCTTGTGGAGAAAGGCACTGAGGCGAGGCCCTTTAACCCCAAATCCCCAGTACTTTCTCTCATGCCTCTAATTCCTGGGGAAGACCCTAAATTTCTACGTTGTTTTGTGGTAGGAACCCCTCCCTAAGGAGAAAGAAAAAATTGAAGAAGAGAGAAGAGAAAACTTCAAGGTCACCTAGATATGAGTCCAGCTGCCTACATCCCCCATGTTCTTGTAAACTGAAACAACTTAATCAGACTAAATATTTATGTGTATTACCATATATTGGAGACAAAGAAATAGAAAATGCATAAAAAACCCTATGCCATATGATGTGGGCTGCTCAGTTCTTTTGGGTACGAACCCAACTGAGCGGTGCCGGCAAAATAAAGTTGCTTCCTGGAAAGAAAAGTCTCGGTGTCACGACTCTCTGAGCGAGAATCCTGCAACATTACCTGGGGGCCTCGCCCGGGACTCGGAGACGGTGGATTGCCACCTCCCTTGCCACCAGGGTACTAGCCTGGGAGCGCCGGGAGAAGTGACCTCACCTGGCGCCAGCGGGCCACTTGATCCGTAGGGGACTAGCCTATCCCGGCGAGCCGGGGCGAGGGCCTTGTGTGCGCAAACGGAACCCGAGGCCCAGGAACCAGCTTAAGGAGCGCCACCCATCTGACTGGTAAGAACCCGGGTTCGTTTTGGTGGACCTGCCCCTAAGAGGCAGAAGGGGAGCCTGATCACCTCCCAGAGTTGCACTAGTAAGTCCACAAGGGAAGAGGAACGAAGCTACAACTCTAAGGCGCTGGATGTAGGGCGATGGGTTGGAGTCGTTGTGTGAATGTGTGTGACTGAGACGGACAACGGGAAGGTTCCGACCTGACCAAGGGCCGAAGCGAGTGTTGAGTCCCGATCCGCGGTTCCGTGGCGACCTCATACAGCTTAAGGCGGCGTCAGACTTCCTCGGGAGTCTGATCCGGGTCAGGGATTGAAACTGAACCTGCCAATGCTAAGAGGAGCCTGAAATATCTCCGAGAGGAGAGCGGCTGGAAACGGACAAAGCGGGTGTGCGTCCTTTCCAAACTGGTCCCCCTCCTTCCCTGGTCTTCCCCTTCTTGTGCGTGAAAGTCGTCTGTTAGGGGGAGGAAATGGGTGGAAAGCAGAGTAAACCGACTCCCCTAGAGTGTATGTTGAGGAATTTCAAAAAGGGATATTCAGGAAATTATGGTGTAAAAGTAACTCCTGAAAAGCTCCGGACATTCTGTGAAATTGACTGGCCATCGTTCGGGGTGGGCTGGCCCTCTGAGGGCTCACTTGATAAGGAACTAGTTGGCCGAGTGTTCAGAGTCATTGCAGGGGACCCAGGCCACCCTGACCAATTTCCTTATATTGACTGTTGGCAAGACCTGGTCCTGTCCCGGCCTCCTTGGCTAAAAGTCTGTATTGAAGAGAGCTGTAAAGTAATCCTGGCTCGCCCCACAGCTTCCTCCAAATACCGGCCAGAGGTTAAAAAGCGCATACTATCAGGAGAACCTGAGGAAACCCCGCCACCATATGTCCCACTGTCCCCCTCCCTGCCACCTGTGCCTCCAGCAGCCCTAACTGCAGAAGCCTCATCGGAGTCTGCCCCCAGCCCCAAAGCCTTACCACCCCTCGCACCACCGACCTCCCCAAGTGGGACCGACTCACCCGAACCACCAGTCTTAACCCCCCATACACCTCCTGAACGGCGGCGACCAGAGACTCAGGCCAACAGAGGCAGCCCTTCCCTACAGCCGCACCGAGGAGCCCAACAGATGCCGCGGAGGGAAATTAGGGGTCCTTTCTAGTATGATCAGGAAGGCCAGATCCAAGGAGGCCAGTGTATTTACATGTACCAGCCCTTTACCACTACGGATCTCCTGAATTGGAAGCGCCATGCCCCCTCCTATACGGAGAAGCCCCAGGCTGTGGTTGACTTAATGCAGTCCATAATTCAGGCCCACAAACCCACCTGGACGGACTGCCGCCAACTTCTTTTAACTTTCTCCAATACAGAGGAGCGTCGCCGAATTATTCAGGCAGCTACAAAATGCTTGGAGGAAAATGCTCCAGCTGGGACACTAGACCCCCGAGCCTGTGCCCGGGCTCACTTCCCCGGGGAGCACCCGAAATGGGACCCGAATGACTTAAGGATAGACGGAGGGCTTACAAGGATTGAGCGATATCAAGAAGCTCTTCGAAATGCTGTAAAGAACGGGGGAGGGGGGGCGAGGGAAAGGCCATAAATGTGAGGAAAACCTCAGAAGTGCTCCAAGGGCCGGAGGAGAGCCCAAGCCAATTCTATGAGAGATTATGTGAGGCATTCCGTCTCTATACTCCCTTTGATCCAGAAGCGCCCGCCAGCCAGAGGATGAGTAATGCGGCTCTCGTAGGCCGGGCCCAGGGAGATATTGGGCGCAAGCTGCAGAAACTAGAAGCTTTCACTGGCATGAATATCAGTCAGTTGCTAGAAGTAGCAACCCAGGTGTTCATTAACCGTGAGCAGGCAGCACGGAAGGAAGAACGCCGGAAGATGCAAACACGGGCAGATTTGTTAGCTGCCGCTTCGGCGGAGCAGTCAAGACACCTCCAGAAGAAAGCCCCGCAGGGAAGGGGCCAAATCCAGGAAGGAGAGCAGCGGGGAGGGGGATCTCACCCTAGATCGAAACTAGGCTGGAATCAATGTGCTTTGTGCCGTCAGGAGGGCCACTGGAAAGGTGAGTGCCCCCAGCGACCAGATGATTCTCAGCAAGGTCCTAAGCAGGAAAAAAAGGGGGGCCATGTGGTCCAGGGCCGGTACCAACTGGCCCCGCAGCCTCATGGGGCCCCCAAGAATGATTTTGTGGGACTAGCCGCCATGGAGGAGACTATGAGGAGGACTAGGACGGGCCGGGCTCTATTTTGCTAGGCCCCCGGGAGCCCATGGTCAGCATGAAGGTGGGGGGCCGACCCACTGACCTTATGGTAGATACTGGAGCACAACACTCAGCAGCGACCCCACCCGTTGGCCCCCTCTCACGGAGACAAGCCACCATTGTGGGGGCCACAGGCGATCAGATACGTCGTCCCTTCCTGTTACCTCGACGATGCAGTTCAGGTGGCCACCAAGTCATCCGTGAATTTCTGTACCTCCCTGACTGCCCCGTGGCTCTCATGGGCCGTGACCTCCTGGGAAAACTGCAGGCCCCGATCACTTTCAACGCCCAGGGACGGGCTGCTCCGACCCTCCGAAAACCGGAGGCAAAGATTATGACTCTCACCATTCCCCAGGGGGAGGAATGGCGTCTCTATAGCCTCAAGGAAAAACCGCAGTTGGTGCCTGAGCTTCCCTTTAAGGTCCCTGTTAAGTGTGGGCTGAAGATAACCCACCAGGACTGGCGCGAAACATACCCCCTGTGGTTGTTGAACTAAAGCCTGGGGCAGAGCCCACCCGCCAGAGACAGTACCTCATCCCTCGCAAGGCGCAGGTCGGGATCCAAAAGCGCCTGGCAAGACTTTTAACGTATGGGATCCTCAGGCCGTGTCAGTCGCCCTGGACACACCCCCCTCTTGCCTGTTCAAAAACCAGGCACAGATGGCTACCGGCCAGTTCAGGACCTGAGAGCAGTAAACCAGGTGACTGTCACCATACACCCAGTGGTCCCGAACCCCTATACACTTTTGGGGCTCGTTCCTGCTGAAGCCACTTTCCTCACCTGTTTGGACCTTAAGGATGCCTTTTTCGGCATCCGCCTGGCCCCCCGGAGCCAATTGAGTTTTGCCTTCCAATGGGAGGACCCTAAAAATGGTGACAGGGGCCAATTAACCTGGACCAGGTTCCCTCAAGGGGTCAAAATCTCCCCCAACCATTTTTGGCACTGCATTCGCCTCTGACTTAGAAGCCTTCCCAGCAGATCAATATGACTGTGTTCAGTACGTGGATGACTTGCTATTAGCTGGGAAGTCCCGGGAGGGTTGCATGGAAGGGACTCGGCAGCTCCTTACCCTCCTATGGAAAGCCGGCTACAAGGTCTCGAGAAAAAAAAAGGCCCACCTCTGTCAAGAAAGGGTTAAATACCTTGGCTTCCACTTATCTCAGGGGCAGCGTCGTCAGCTCGGCCCAGAGAGAAAGCAGGCCGTTGGCTCCCTCCCGACTCCCACAACCCGTCGCCAGGTTCGAGAGTTTCTGTAGGATCTGGATGCCTAACTTTTCAGTCCTGGCAAAACCCCTCTATGAGGCCTCAAAAGGGGGAGCAAGGGAACCCCTGGTATGGGAGTCAGTACAGCAAGAGGCTTTCGAGGAAATAAGGCGTGCACTTACTAATGTGCCTGGTTCAGGGCTCCCGGACATGACCAAGCCCTTTTGTCTGTATGTCCATGAGCGCACTGGTATTGCAGTGGGAGTACTGACTCAGATGTTGGGACCATGGCATCGCCCGGTGGCATATCTCTCCAAGCAACTTGACTCTGTGGCCCAAGGCTGGCCGCCCTGCCTACGGGCACTAGCAGCCACAGCCCTTTTAGTGTCTGAGGCTGACAAGTTAACTACGGGACAGGAATTAACAGT